GGGAGCAGCCAAATGGTTCGAGATACCAAGTAATGTCCCGTATGCTTTCCTTGCATAATTTTGTTGGTTTTTATTAGTTACGTCTTGAACGATTCCCCCTTTTTGTGTGGAGTTCGGCTGAATTTTTATATTGGACAATTTTTTCTATGTTTTTATCTCTTTGAAACAGTTTGCAGTGCTATAGTACCACACTCTTTCCTTAAATGCTTAAGGTATGAGGCGAAGTGGAAAAAGTGAATTTTTTCTCAAAATGTCATTTTTCGGTTTTTGGTTATGTTACACCTCTATCACACGGCACCTGTAATGTCATTCGCTGCAAATGACATTAGGCGTTAATGCCATTTTTGTAGCTTTACACGGACATAGTGAATGACATTCACACCTAATGACATTCACTCGTTGAATGTGCCACTGAACTCATGGACATGTGTACTCTTGTCAAGATATTACGAAATCGACATTTTAAAGCAAGTGGAAACAATGTGCAGATATTTATTAAAGGTTGTTAACTTTTCGGTAACTTTTTAATGTGTAACACGGTAGTGGAAGCAACTTGTGTCGCTATATTCTCTTTTTCAGACTCCGACTTGACGCTATAGCGCCTCCTGTCAGCCATGTTTACACAAGCTCGCTGTTGTTTTGGTGCCGCATCACCGCGTTAGACACGCTAGTAGCAGAATATGCACGCGCATGTTGGACACCAGTTTACGGAGAGTCTTTTCCAATCAATTTTCCTTTATTGGGAAACACCACAGTTCTCTGATATTCGCTCACGCAGTTTATGTCCAAAGAGCAGCCAATATAAATGAATTGGTGTGCAGACGCAGCTCCACATCCCTCGTCGTCTGTGATCTTTCTTCAATATCAAGCTTGAGACGCTTCAGTTGGTTCTGGTGCTTCATTCACAGCAGCTGGAGAGCAATTATCGTTTATTTGCACTGCTCATGATTTATCGCAGTCACAAATTTATGAACGCTGTTATGGTTCTAAATATTGCTGACTGCAAGTTGTGACTTCAATCTTTAAACTAGTCTTCAATCTTTAAACTAGTCTTGCTTTGGTATGAGGATTTTTTTTCTATCCATGCTGTTTCATCATGCTGCAGTATATTTTCAACCAGCCGTACAGTGTTATGTCAATTAAGTGTACAATTTGTAACTTTTTCGTATTATAGCAGCCTGCCGATAAACATTGCCGTAAATTGCAAATGTCATTTTACGTAGACGTGTGGACCCGGAAAGCAAGTTCACAATGACATTCGTTTTGAATGTCATTCACTGTGATTGACATTACACGTGCCGTGTGACAGGTGTAGTAGATGGGCAATATATTGCTTGTCAATTTGCTGCATAAAGCTCATGTCTACGCAGTTTCTTTCAAAAGATACAAGCAGGAATGTTAGACCACCTGTCACCTATGAAACCAAAGCTGAAAGTGCCAGTTTTGTGTTCATCGTAAGATTAGCTTGATAAGTAATATTTTGTTGGCTATTTAGCAATCATATTAAGTGCGAACATGTTACAATGCTCTAACAGCATTGTCAACAGATCATTTTTAATCATAAAAGTCATAACTTCTCACTATGTGAACACTTAATTATTACATTTGTTGTTTACACTCAAGGACATATATGTGAGCCTGTAAACCATTCAATTTACTTTGGTACAATATGTGTGTCATTTCAATAATGGCAACGAAGCATATTTGATATTTTTAAGCACATTGAGATCGGGCGTGGCTCATACTCTGCAAAAATGTGCCTCACAAAGGATCAGCACCGCAGCGCGAAAATGCCCAATCACGTCACTGATGCTGCACAACAAGCTTGAAAAAAAGTTTAATGTTGCCGCTAAAGAAAAGGCACACTATAGTATTGAACATGATAGAACTGGCTACATATATTGAGAATTTCAACCCTTTTGAGTATCTTGTGTGAGCACTGCACCTGTTTCAAATCTGTTTTGTTGATTTTCTCGGAACTTGTATTTCTGGTAATTTTCTGTACGTGAACGGTTGTACCTCTTTTGCTAATACAGTTGAACCCCTTTATAAGAGGCATGCTGTGGGCACTGATTCTTGTCTTTTATTTGAGATGTCTCTTATAAGCAGGGTACTATGTATGCATTTTTCTATCAACCCGTATTTTACTTCATGCACACTGGTGTCTGTTATACCCATTTGTCTCTTATATCAGTGTCTCTTATAAAGGGGTTCGACTCTAAACATTTTTTATGAAAACTTGGCACACTTCTTATCACATTAGTAGGCGTGCAATGAACCTCAATGAGGAAAATCGTGCCACAAGATTCAATATGGCTGCCAGTTATACAGAGGCGTCCCAAGTGGTGGTGCATACTTTTTTGGGTTATTTGATGTCTATGTGTTTTCTATTCATCAGGTCTCATTTCTTTTGGTTTGTTTTGCACAGTCCAAAGCTTCTTACATGTGTCTGCAAAAAATGAAAATATTTCAACAAGCAGGACTAGAGTCAAGAGGTTTGGTATACATTTAATGAATTTTTTTAATTTTGAGAAATGAACATAAATAATAGATTGCTTTATAACCCTCACATTCATCTAAAAATCATCATCATCATCATCAGCCTGATTACGTCCACTGCAATACAAAGGCCTCTCCCATTTTCCGCCCGTTAACTCAGTCCTGTGCTTGCTGCTGCCAATTTATACCCCCAAACTTCTTAATCTCATCTGCCCACCTAACCTTCTGTCTCCCCCTAACTCTCTTGCCTTCTCTGGGAATTCAGTTAGTTGCCCTTAATGACCAGCGGTTGTCCTGTCTACGCGCTACATGCCCGGCCCATGTCCATTTCTTCTTCTTGATTTCAGCTATGATATCCTGAACCCCCGTTTGTTCCCTAATCCACTCTGCTCTCTTCTTGTCTCTTAAGGTTACACGTACCATTTTTCTTTCCATTGCTCGCTGCGTCGTCCTCAATTTAAGCTGAACTCTCTTTGTAAGTCTCCAGGTTTCTGCTCCGTAGCTAAGTATCGGCACGATACAACTGTTATATACCTTCCTCTTGAGGGATAGAGGCAATCTACCTGTCATAATTTGAGAGTGCTTGCCAAATGTGCTCCACCCCATTCTTATTCTTCTACTTACTACAATCTCGTGGTTCGGCTCCGCGGTTATTACCTGCCGTAAGTAGATATAGTCTTTTACAACTTGAAGTTGACTATTACCTATCTCAAAACGCTGCTCTCTTCTGAGGTTGTTGTACATTACTTTCGTTTTCTGCAGATTAATTTTAAGACCCATCTTTCTGCTCTCCTTGTCTAACTCCGTAATCATGAGTTGCATTTCGTCCCCTGAGTTACTCAGCAATGCAATGTCATCGGCGAAGCGCAGGTTACTTAGGTACTCTTCATTAACTCTTATCCCTAACTGTTCTCATTCTAGGCCTTTGAAAACCTGTAAGCACACGATATATAGCATTGGGAAGATTGTGTCCCGCTGCTTTACACTCTTCTTGATTGGTATTCTGTTGCTTTGTTTATGAAGCATTATAATAGCAGTTGATCCCCTGTTGATTTCTTCTAGGATGTTTATATATGCTTCATCGACACCCTGATTCTGAAGTGTCTGCATGACTGCTAATATTTCTACTGAATCAAACGCCTTCTCGCAATCTATGAAGGCTATGTATAGTGGTTGGTTATATTCTGAGCATTTCTTTATTACCTGATCGGTATTCTTAATGTGGTCGTTTGTTGAGTAGCCTGTTCGAAATCCTGGTTGTTTCTTTGGTTGATTGAATTCTAATGTTTTCTTAACTCTGTAAGCAACTACTTTTGTAAATAGCTTTTATACTACGGAGAGCAAGCTGATTGGCCTGTAATTCTTTAAGTCGTCATCTCTTTTCTTATGTATTAAGATGATGTCAGCATTCTTCCAAAACTCTAGTACCCTTCCCCTCAGGAGACACCTTGTAAACAGTGTGGCTAGTTTTTCTAACACAATCTGTCCTCCATCTTTCAGCAGACCTGATGTTACCTGATCCTCACCAGTGGCTTTGCCTCTTTGCATGCTCTCCAAGGCTTTTCTAACTTCTTCTATCGTTACTGGTGGGGTGTCATCTGGGTTACTGCTAGATCTTATAGCATTAAGGTCGTGGTTATCCCGGCTACTGTACAGATCTCTGTAAAACTCCTCTGCTATTTTAACTATCCTATTCATATTGATAGTTATTTTGCCTTCTTTGTTTCTTAGTGCATACGTCTGATTTTTCCCTATCTCAAGTTTCCTCTTCACTGCTTTGACGCTTCCTCCGTTTTTCAGAGCGTGTTCAATGCTCTCCATGTTATACCTTCTTACATTGGATACCTTACGCTTATTAATCAACTTCGAAAGCTCTGACAGTTCTATTTTGTCTGTTGTACTTGAGACTTTCATGCTTTGACGCTTCTTAATGAGAGAGATTCTTCGTTTCCTGGGAAAGCTTGCCAGTGTCCTGTCTAACTATCCTGCCTCCAACTTAAAAATGTGTGATTTATATTGCAGAATATTAATTGGTAATAAATATTGCTTTAAAAAAAAAATTCTGTTTCTTGGCCTCATGTCTTCATATGGCATCTGGTGATATTTTTTTTTTGTTTTTTAATTATGGCAGTCGTTAACAGGGTGAAGCAAATAGCCAAAAGTTGCTGTTTCTCATTTGCAAGCCTTACAGGTGACCTGACATATTTGCAAACAGCATTATATGCATTTTAGTATTCTAGCAAATAAGCCATGTAAATGTAAGAAAGCTTCATTTAAACTACTAGCTGTTTAAAAATAGAATATTTGGTATTTTTTAGTGTGCAGAAATTATTTTCTTCAAATACTATTTATAAAAGAGTGAATTGGGAATATATATTTTTCAATAAGTCTTGCTTTGAATCCTATCACGATTTTTAATGCGCATTTTCTTTAAACATTTGCTGCTTCAAGATTTTTTATAGTGTCTCTGTGTAATGCAACATGCTTCTTATTCATTTCAGAGTCTCAGTGATGAAGTAATGCGATTAAAGGCACTTCTTCAAGCAAGTCAGGCTCGACAACAGCAGCTTGAAGGGGAAATTAAGTCTTCATCCCAGTTTCACATTGCTGTGTGCAAGCAGAAAGACAAGCTTCTGGAATCTGCTAAGACAGAGATTCAAGAATTAACGAGACAAGCTGAGGTGTTTATTTCTTTCTAATCATGATAAAATATGGTCTTTCATTTACTTACGTTCGTTGCAGTCTACAGTTAGTGACACCCAACTCTCACTTATAGTTAGATACAACATTAGAAGTTCATGGCATTTTCTCCTCAAATCTGGAAGCACACAAGCTTGCACAAATGAATGCACACTCCAGACTGATGTCACGAGCCGCACGGTCAATTACTTCGCCTTAACAAGAGCTTTATGTCGTTAAACAATACATATGCTTGCCAGGACCAAAAAAGACGTCCAAATTATCCTGTTTTTTGAATTAATGAATGTCAAATTACGGCTGCAATGCACAGTGTCACTCATCATCACTTTCAAAGGCCCCCTATCACTTTCATCAGCCTTATTTTTCCATCATTCGATTAATTCATACTTTTTCCAGTTCCATACCAGAAAATATCTGCTGCTTTCCCACTGCTATTTAAAAGTTTGTGTGCTTATATAACTCTCAAACATATATCTAACAGTCTCAAAATGAAAAATAAGCATCTCAGCCCTTCAAAAAAAAAAAAAAGACTTTGATAGTAAACAAATGTTTGAAATAAAGCATAGGCATGGTAAACCATGATGCTTCAAAACTGGTATAGAGCTCGAGCTTTGTGCTGGAGGCACATATAGCAAAGTAGTAGTTTGCAATTCACAGTTTCTTTAAATGGTGTGATCAGCAGTAAATGGCCAACAAACTTGTGGACCTAACAACTTGGCTTTCTTTTCATTGCATGCTGTTAAGATTTAAAAATGCTTGAAAAAGTTTTAAAGCTGATAAAATGAATGCCTAATCAAAATTTGTGGTGTCACTTCACCCACACTCATATATATGAGGACTTCTTATAATTCAAGCTTCTTCATAATTAAAACAAAATTAAGAGGTCCCTTCGAGTTTGACTTTACGAGAGTCAAGTGTAGATTTGTATACATATACGGTGAATTATGGAGCTCGCCGACGGCAGTGGAAAAATCCAGCCGAGAGTGTCCATATGATTGCTATGCAACAAAATGCAAAACTTCAAACTTGTGAACACTATGCAATTTACACTGTTATTTGCTGATATTTTATATGGGCAGGAGGCACTTGAGATAAGAAGTCGCCAAGTTGGACTGAAATCGGAATGTAATTGCCTGCATTCTGCCACTCGTCAGAAGACAACTTTCGTTGAGGTATGTGTTGTAAAAACTTGGTGTTCAGACTATCACAAACAACATATTTTCACAGTTAAGTTGAAGAAACAACCTGTGTCAGCGGGACAGTCATTCAGACTGGTCACCCAGCTCCTCCTCTATTTTTTTCTCAATGCCAGCCAGATGCGCCTGACCCAGTCGTTCACCACCTTCTCCTCTAGCCCTTTCTTGCTATCATCCATCACCTAGCCTTCGTGTGTGCTTTGTGGTCATGGGAGAGAGAACCCTTTATGTGGTGCATTACGACGGAAATCATATGAAGGAATTTTTCCTTCAGTTGTGTGCAGATATGCGGGGCGGCGACTTGCATTTCTCAGGTTTACAATGTTGGCGCTCACGCTGGCTCTGTAAGCGATACGATGTTTTGAGATACTGTATTGCCGTTCCTGGCACTATGTGGGCAACCAATGGGGAAGCATCACTGCGCTGCTGTGGTACTTTAAGAGAGCTGTGAGGCGGCAGTGGCATTCCTTCGAGCCACAAAGAAGGTGCACGAAGTAGCAAAACACTCAGGCTCACTCAGACTCAGACTTGCGGCTCGATGTGAGTCTGAGTGAGTCGACTCATGATTAAGTTCACTGACCTGTGCATATGTGTCCCACTGCTCACTGAAAGGCAGTAGTTTCAGAAAAAAAAAAATACTTTTTTTTTTTTTCAGTCAACAATGGAAAGAGTCACTAACAAAAAAGTCAACTAAGTCTTCATTGTGTATCTGCTCGCTAACTGCACTTGAGCAGCAGGTGTGGGTACTGGGGCATGCTTGCAACAGTAATTTTTGTCTGTGGAGGAAGCTCAACTGTTTCCCTCTATGGGAAGAGACTTCTCTGCATGAAGCAAAGAGAAAATTTGATAACGCAATCAGTTGTAAACAGTGTTAGACTAGCTATGCTTTTGGAAATATATCGTGGAATGGTTGTCAACTTTGCATTGCTCAAATTTTTCACGAAACTGAGCGAGTAGGAAAAAAGAACACTACTATAATAAATAGCCCATTTAGGAGCTCACAAGTATGAAATAAGTTTTTCAAGCTTGACTCTCGTGCTGAATCGGTTGGAGAGCGCACTAAAACCTGATAAAAAGAATACAGCGTGTTCAAGTGGAATGTTTTGTTTGGAACATGTGTATGTGATGCCACTTCACGAATAACATCAAAACAACTGCCAAAACTGCTACCTAGAAAATTTATGTGGGTGCACAGAAAGTCTGAAAGCGATCGACTCAGTGGTTTTGACCTAAAAAAATAGAACGGGTGAAAGAAAAGTGGGACACGCAAGTCACACTGCCCCATAAAGGGTTAATTCAAACTATAATTTGAATACAGCAGACTTGTTAAACGAAACAATAAGGGGCCAGGATATTAAGTAACATTTAATACAAGTTCTTTTTGCTGATAGATGAACTAGGGTGCACAATACAAGCTGAAAACGAGTTATATAAGAGGCACTTCAAATTTAAGCAGCTATTCCGTTTAAAAAGACCAACAACTGATTTTTCTCAACCCCTTTTTTTATGGCACAGCAGGTAGCTCGCCCTTCGTAATGTTTGTAGCTTAATCATGAACACACAGTTATTTTGCAAACAGTATTTATCGATTTGAAAGGCTCTAAACACAGACGTTATTTTTCCTGCAGCAACAGTAAGAATGGATAGGGATGCCACGAGTCCTTCTCACATTTTCTGGAAGCTGTCGTTATTCTGCTTGTACAAAAGTTCCTTTAAGGGCTCCTCACCGGGTTTGACAATTTTGAGCTGATCAGTGCAATGCATACACTGGGCGTTCATGATCAGTCTTGCTGAAATTTGCAATGCTATGCGTCACAGCAATAAGTCAAATTTCAAGCTGAATGCCGCTTACCCTCCTTCCCATGTGCTCACGCCCAGAGAATGAGGGAATGACGTTCACGATGGAAATGCCCTACGTATACGGTATTGCTGTGACGTGAGTCCTCTACGTAGATGAATGTGCTCTGACATTGCCAAGAGTAGCATGTGACATGGCAAAAATTATTTGACACAACATGTGGTTTGTGCAATTTGCTGCTTGAATAAATGAGTACAACTTGATCAAATTAATGAGACACACAAAGGGAATGTGTGCGTCTTGTTAAATTTTTCCATGAATCACAGTGATACGCGGAGCTAATGTGCCTCTATTTTGCATGCGTTCGTGTACCCACGGTGCCCCTGGTTAACTCATCGAGCAGACACCAGCCCTGGCAACGAAAGTAATGTTCTGGCTTGTACAAGCACTCATTATGCTCATTTATTTTAGTGCATCTAAGTAAACATTAATGCAGCAGTGGCTTACGATACCGCCACTCTAGTGCCAGTAAAATGTCGCAGTTTTCCTGCTCGGAAGCGTGGTGGTTAGGGCTAGTTGGTAGGTCATGACGAATGTTATAGTGCGAGCTCAGAAGTACGAAAAAGGACAAGAAGAGTAGCACTAACTTCCAACTGAGTTCATTGTGCAGAGCGGGAAAACATACATAGGAGACAAAAATCATGTGGGGAAAGATGAGCAATGCAAAGATGAGTGAGGCAAAAAGACGAAAAACCTAAGAAATAAATCTAAAGAAACTATACTGAGTACTAAAAGAAGTATCACTACAGTCGAGCCCGCTTATAATGAACCTGAGCATGACGCGGCATCCGTTCGCTGTATCCCGAAGTTCGTAGTAAATGAAACACAGATTTTAAAAAAGTTGTGAGTGAAAACACAAACTTTTTTTGCCCTAAAAAGTCCACGATGCACGTGTTTCGAAGAGCAGAAACGATAAGGGCGGTCTCGAGTTCATTTAAAACGGCAGGCTGCTCGTTCGCCGAGGCCCGTGGCATAAGCTGCATGAGGCGCTGGCTCCAAAGCTTCGTCGTTCTCGCAATCCGATTCCTCCAAATGGCTCTCGCCACGTACTTCATTCACAATGCCCCAATCCGTGCACAGTTCCGCAGTGTCGGCATCATCATCGGCCGTAATCAAATCATCACAACAGATGTCCCACCCGCTCATTCAGGTCGGAGTCGACGACGCGCTGTCACAAATCGCCGCCGCAGTGGTCCTGTTCGGAAGCTTCAGGCTCGGCATCGGGCCCGACGATGTCGAAGTCGGCCTCGCGAAAATAGTTTCGCGCACATGTGGCCGTCACCGCCGCCCACGAAATATTCACCCTCTCCACAGCTGAATACCGGGACGCCCGAAGCAGCAAGTTGGCTGCCAGGTGGTCAACAGCTATGAGCAAGCGCTCCGCAACGCGGTACCTAATGCGCGGATTACGCTCAAGCGAATCGGTCACACTTTCGATGTGTTGTTGAGTGGCACGAAAAAGCGTGCTAGTCCTCCAGTCGGCCATCATGACCACACACGCACACCAAGAGCGAGCAAGACGCGCACACGCGTGGAACAGCTCTGGGTGCGTTTCCAGTCGGAAAACGAAACTAATTCGAGCCAGCGTGGCGGGCGTCGCGGAGCGGTGGAGACGGGCGAAGAAGTTGTGATCAAGAGAGGAGAGCAGACTTTCGAGAGAAGGGCAAGGAGTTGCGATAAAGCACGGAGGAATGAAAGATTCCTTTCTTCGTGTGTTTAAGAGAGGGGAGGATGCGGCGGAAGGGCGACCTTGAAAACCAAAACACACGGGAAGAAGGCAGGTTGGGTAGCTTGCTTGAAAGGTCTGCGAAACTCGCAAGTAGAAAAACTTAGAAAGAGTGCCAGCGCGCGTAGAAGCCAAAGAATGGCCGCCTGGTTCGGTGCGCGGCGGCGTTCGAAGAATCGGCAGCCGTGGTCAAAAATCGTTTTGTTGCACTGGCGGGTTTGCGTGGCCTCACGAACTTCGATATTTCGCGATTCATTCCGCGCAAATTAACAGCCGTTTTCGCGCTTCCGCATGTGCGCTGAAGGCATGCTGAGCCGAGTACGAAGTGAGCGTGAAAAAGTCGTAAACATAAAACGAATCACAAATTATCAAAGTCGGTGGGGTAGCGTACGCGCGTGCACTGGACGCAGACTATCGGATACAGTCGGTGGCCGACGATGTTGGCAAACGATCTGGTCACTCCAGGCAGGTGACGCCATCAACAGCACCAGTGATCAAAAACAGGGTAGGTGGCCGATCGGTCTTCGAAAGATCGGTGGCAGTGTGAAAACACGGGCCTCGTCTGGCGATGCCGGGTGCTCAGAGTAGCGGGGGGACAAAGGACGGAGAGGTGCGTAATAAAAAGCGATCAGGGAGAGCAGCAACTAGAGGGGCGCGGAGGCAGAATCGGCGTTTAACAACAAGAATGTATGGGCACCTCGCCGATGCCTGATGGGTGGTCGAAATTGGTTTCCCCGAGAAGTCGGCAGACCGCTGACTCCGTTTGCTGTAACCGATCAGCGGCGCTCGAAGACGTTCGTTGTAAGTGCGATTTTGTGCCATTGAACCAATGTATACTAGACGGTCACACGGATAATATTCGTTTTAAGCGAAAGTTCGTTTTAAGTGGGGCCGTTATATGGGGGCTCGACTGTAGTTGCGCGTGCCATTGCTTTCAAGGAACCTTAATTCCTTCTCGCATAGTGTCAAGGAAGGCTTGCTAACGCACGAGTCATGTTCGCATGCCATTTGCGCAGTCTCGACAATGATTCGAGTGCGATCATCTCACTGCTTGTACATAGTCACTGTGTCCTCGAAAAGAGGCGCACAGTTGCACGCAATGCAATGGCGCGTGCAACTAGAGGCTAGGGAAGGGACTTGGCTTGAAAATATTACGCTGGGTGAATGGCAAGGGTTTCGAGCTCACTTCCTCACATCACGGCTTCCCACCGCTTCAAAATGCTGGTTTTCTCAGTTTGTAATGAACTGATTGAAAAAATTCTTGTGGCATAATGCTCTTCATCAAGCACATGACAACTGCCTCCGTTTAACTAAAATTTGTTATAGGTCCTGGTGAGGGGACCCTCAACTATGCCTAAGTAATTTTATTTTGAGAGCTTAAATTTCTTAAAA